GAAGACCAGACCTCACTAAAAATGAGGTCAACATGCTTATGCTTCAAATTTAGTTGAAGATATCGAGTGTAGTGAAGAACCTTCTAGCTATAAAGAAGTTGTGAATTCAGTTGACTCCAATAAGTGGATGATTGCTATGCAAGAGGAGATTGAAGTTGTGAAGAAAAATAAAACATGGAATTTGAAATATTATCTCAAGACAAGAAAGTTGTTCGTTGCAAATGGGTGTTCATGAAGATGGAAAGTACAGTAAGAGTTGAATATTCCAGATATAATGACAAACTTGTTACAAAGGGATCCAGTCAAATTTCAAGTGTAGACTTTACAGATGTATTCTTTTCGGGAGTCAAATATAGCTCAATTCGAGCTTTACTTAATATTGTGACTATGCATGATCTTGAGCTGTTAGATGTAAAAACTGCATTTTGGAATAGAGAGCTTGAAGAAGACATTTAAATGTAGCAGCCTGTGGGCTCCATCGTTACAGACAAAGAAGATCATGTTTGTTTGTTAAAGAAATTTCTTTACGGTTTAAAACAGTCACCGAGACAGTGGTATAAGAAATTTAATTCATTCATTATTGCCCATGATTTTGAGAGAAGTAGTTATGATAGTTGTGTTTACTTCAAGAAAAATATTAAATGATCATTTATCTACTTGGTCTTATGTCGATATGCTACTAAAAATAAAGAAGATATCAAGATGCTAAAAGCTTAACTTAGTAGTGAGTTTGAGATGAAAGATTTGGGAGCTGCAAAAAAAATACTTGGCATGTAGATTCAGAGAAATATAAATGTAGGTAAATTCTTTCTAAGTCAGAAAGGGTACATTGAAATAGTTTAAAATAGATTTAATATGCAGAATGCCAAGCCTGTTAGTACCCCATTAGCTGCGCATTTAAGACTTTCATCAGCTTTGTGTTCATAATATGATGATGAGATTGAATATATGTCTTGAGTTTCATATTCTAGTGGATTGGGATATCTCATGTATGTTTTGGTGTGTTCTCGTCCAGATTTATCATATGTAGTAAATGCACTTAGTAGATATATGAGTAATCCGGGTAAAAAACATTGTAAAGCAGTTTAATGAATCCCCAGGTATCTATGTGGAATAAAAGATGTTTGTTTGCAGTTTGAATGGACTATAGATATAGTCATCAACTATGTTGATTTAGACATTGTTGGAGATTTTGATAAAAGTAGATCACCAGAATACATGTTTATTATTGGTGGCTCTGCAATTAGTTGAAAGGCTACTTGACAGACAATCGTGACACTATCTACAACTGAAGCTGAGTACATAACAATTACTGAAGCTTGCTAAGAAGCTCACTAGTTGAAAGTTGTATTTGAAGAGCTTAATGAAGATTTGAAAATAAGCACACTAATGTGTGATAGTTAGCATGCTATTTATCTCAACAAAGGTCAAATGTTTCATGATAGAATTAAACTATTGATGTTTGTTATCACTTTGTTCGTGAAATTATTGCTCGTGCTGATATTGTTGTGAGCAAGATCAGTACTCATGATAATCATGCAAATGTAATGACTAAAGCACGACCAATAGCCAAGTTTGAGCATTGTTTTGACTTGGTATTCATTCCCGATCTTTAGAGCTTTGTGGAAGAGTTGGAGAAAGTTTTATTATATATTCCTTGGAAATTCGTGTCAAGCTGAAGATTGTTAAATTTGGCCCGAATTTTATGGGTTTTGCTTATCATCTCATAAGGAAATTATGATCATGTAGATTGAGGCTTTAAAAGGAAACTATAAATACACAGATTGAATGTTTCAACCATTAGATCAAACTTATAGCTTTTAGATTGCAATACATGTTCTATTGCTTTATTGACTCTCTTTTAATTATGTTATTTAAAGGTGTCTTGCTAAAATTATAAATACCTCTCTTTTGTTTTGTGCAATACACTCTCTACTTGTAATCTTTTATTTGGTATAATGAATTCTCCTCTCCTGCCTGTGATTTTTCTCATCTTGGGTTTTACTCTTAAAATTTGTGTTATTTCTTTTGCTTATTTTATTATTTATTGCATCAACTAAATATCAACTTATAATAATAATACTATATATGGTGAGCATGTAAATAGACTCGTTGGGTGCCTTCTTTCTATCGAGGCTTAATGATAGGACATATGGCATAAAATATGTCAATGGAAATGGCATGATTAACAAGGCATATTATATCACAACTTATGCTATTATGTATATGCTAAAGCTATTCTTTTTGGCAGGAACTAGTAGAAAGATCAATTATGGGACACTTAGCAAAACAAACAATCGAAGTAACTTTGTTACGTTTAAAAAGATCAATAAGACCTTTTTACTTATAGAGGGAAAGCAACAATAAAAAAGAGAACTAGGAACATCGAATTGTTAAAAATTGATCCGGGGAAAATACATATGATGTGTTATAAATGAAAGTCTCCACCCAAAAAAATCAAAATTAGAGATTATTAATGCAAAATCAATGAAACATCGTGTCCCAGAATCCATGATGAAATTATGTAACATCTGAACCAGATATAATGAAGCTTGACATTTCCATGACTAACCTGTGTTTGAGGCAATAAAATGTTGCAAAAAACGAATGAAGCAGAAAATCATCATAGGCAATCACAGTAGATAACCAATAGCACAGAGTTTAGGGGCACAACAGAACCATGCCAAAGTAAAGGCTTGCAAAATAATATAACAAATAATTAAAGCAGATCATCACAGCCAAAACCAGAACTTCAAAATTGATCCCAGACCAACAGGAGAAGAAGGAATTAGATGGCTAGTTGTGTCCCGTTTAGAATGTATGATTTCATCATTTCCCTAAAATACAAAGTGGAGCAGCGCATTTGATCAAGAGGTAGTAGCCACTGTATAGTCAAAAACCACCAATATATATATATATATATATATATAAAGAGTTAAATTTGGCCCAAATTTTATGGGTTTTGCTTATCATCCCATAAGGAAATTATGATCATGTAGATTGAGGCTTTAAAAGGAAACTATAAACGCATGGATTGAATGTTTCAACCATTAGATCAAACTTATAATAGCTTTTAAATTGCAATACGTGTTCATAATATGATGATGAGATTGAATATATGTCTTGAGTTTCATATTCTAGTGCATTGGGATCTCTCATGTATGTTATGGTGTGTTCTCGTACAAATTTATCATATTTAGTAAATGCAGCTAGTAGATATATGAGTAATCTTGATAAAAAAACATTGAAAAGCAGTTTAGTGGATTCTCAAGCATCTATGTGGAATAAAAGATGTTTGTTTGCAGTTTGAGTGGACTATAGATATAGTCATCAACTATGTTGATTCAGACTTTGTTGGAGATTTTGATAAAAGCATATCACTTACAGGATACATGTTTATTATTGGCGGCTCTGCAATTAGCTGAAAGCCTACTTTACAGATAACCGTGACACTATCTAAAAGTGAAGCTGAGTACATAGCAATTACTGAAGCTTGCAAAGAAGCTCGCTAGTTGAAAGTTGTATTTGAAGAGCTTAATGAAGATTTGAAGATAAACACACTAATGTGTGATAGTTAGCGTGCTATTTATCTCAACAAAGGTCAATTGTTTCATGATAGAACTAAGCATATTGATGTTTGTTATCACTTTGTACGTGAAATTATTGCTCGTGATGATATTGTTGTGAGCAAGATCAGTACTCAACATAATCATGCAGATGTAATGACTAAAGCACAACCAATAGCCAAGTTTGAGCATTGTTTTGACTTGGTATTCATTCCCAATCTTTAGAGCTTTGTGGAAGAGTTGGATAAAGTTTTATTATATATTCCTTGGAAATTTGTGTCAAGCTGAATATTGTTAAATTTGGCTCGAATTTTATGGGTTTTGCTTATCATCTCATAAGGAAATTATGATCATGAGACTTTAAAAGGAAACTATAAACACACGGATTGAATGTTTCAACCATTAGATCAAACTTATAATAGCTTTTAGATTGCAATACGTGTTCTATTGCTTTATTGACTCCCTTTTAATTATTTTATTTAAAGGTGTCTTGCTAAAACTATAAATACCTCTCTTTTGTTTTGTGCAATACACTCTCTACTTGTAATCTCTTATTTGATGTAATAAATTTTCCTCTCCTGCCTGTGATTTTTCTCATCGTGGGTTTTACACGTAAAATTTGTGTTCTTTCTTTTGCTTATTTTATTATTTATTGCATCAATTAAATATCAACTTATAATAATAATACTATATATGGTGAGTATGTAAATAGACTCGTTGGGTGACTTCTTTTTATCGAGGCTTAATGATAGGACATATGGCATAAAATATCATCAATGGAAATGGCATGATTAAGAAGGCATATTATATCACAACTTATGCTATTTTGTATATGCTAAAGCTATTCTTTTTGGCAGGAACTAGTAGAAAGATCAATTATGGGACACTTAGCAAAACAAACAATCGAAGTAACTTTGTTACGTATAAAAAGATCAATAAGACTTTTTTACTTATAGAGGGAAAGCAACAATAAAAAAGAGAACTAGGAACATCGAATTGTCAAAAATTGATCTGGGGAAAATACATATGATGTGGTACAAATGAAAGACTCCACCCAAAACAATCAAAATTAGACATAATTAATGGAAAATCAATGAAACATCGTGTCCCAGAATCCATGATGAAATTATGTAACATCTGAAACAGATACAATGAAGCTTGACATTTCCATGACTAACCTGTGTTTGAGGCAATAAAATGTTGCAAAAAACGAATGAAGCAGAAAATCATCATAGGCAATCACAGTAGATAACCAATAGCACAGAGTTTAGGGGCACAACAGAACCATGCCAAAGTAAAGGCTTGCAGAATAATATAACAAATAATCAAAGCAGATCATCACAGCCAAAACCAGAACTTCAAAATTGATCCCAGACCAGCAGGATAAGAAGGAATTAGATGGTTAGTTGTGTCCCGTTTAGAATGTAGGATTTCATCATTGCCCTTAAATACAAAGTGGGAGCAGCGCATTGGATCAAGAGGTAGTAGCCACTGTATAGTCAAAAACCACCAATATATATATAAAGAGTAAATGGTGATGATATGAAAAGGGGTGCCCCCTCAAGTTTATCTCCATCTTTTTATCTAATGCTAAAATAGGTTTTTCTCATAAGATGTCAACTGGGTGGCAACATAAGTGATTTGGACAACAGGAGAATTTTTTTTATAATTTTGCAGCTGTAAGTATCTCCATGATTAAGAACCTTAGCTATATTTCAGCCCATATGAAATAAACTAGGCTTGTGTTCGGCTCGTTTATATTTCGAGCTCAAAAAGTGTGTTTGTGTTCGGCTCGTTT